CCCCCCCCCCGCGCATTTCTCCATATCCTTCACTTTGAGTTCGAGTTCAAGTCACCTTTTGTTCATTATTATGACAAAGAAATGTAAAAGTCATTCATTTCTTTATTCATTGTTGTATTTTTATGGTATGTTTTCTGATGATTCATTATACCTTTATTTACCTCTTCATATAAAGCGCAAATTTATTTTCAATTTGAACTTCGTGATTAGCGAACTGCAATAGTCTAGAACCTAGAGTTAGTGACACTCTTGGCGGGCAAGATTTTTTTGTGCCTCCCCCCCCCCCCCTTCCAACCCGAGGAAAGGGTGGGGGGGAGCTGCAGGGGCCCGAAAATGTTGTCCCTCAGCATGAAAGGGGGGAAAGCTAGACCTTTCGAAGTGGCAGTTGTGTCCCTTATTTTTGCAAGTATCGAGATTGTAGAGGTTTTCATTAAATTAAATAGGACTGAAACTGAAGATGTTTATGTAGGAAAATTTAATGCCATAACAATAACAAAAAATGTATTGTATACAACTAATAATATTAAATATTAAGTGTTTTATTCATCATTTTAAATGGGTTTATACGACATTTTATTAAATCTGAACAAACAAATATAAAGTTACCCACCCGCTAATTTATTTTGTTAATTATTTTAAAATTCACGACTGTATCACCTGGTACAAAATGCGCGAACTATATTTTGTTGTTTTGTTTTTTTTACTCATATTTAAAAACGAAAACGTTACGCTACTATTAAAAGCAGCAGCCTTGTTTTTTTCCCAGTAAATCTTTATACCGGGTAATTTTAAAATGTACCATTCGAAGTATTTGGGACGACGACTCCACAGACAAGGGTCCAGCAAAACATTTAGCGTTTTTATCATAAGATAAGAATCTTTGGAGAAGCAACACGGCAAAATGTTACGATCAGTTCAGTAGATATAAATTTGCACGACACTTTGTGTATCAAAGGTTTATTAGTGAGCAAGTCCATTATGAATCTGGGAGGCAAGGGAAGGTCATTCACGGCTGAAAACTTGTGGTGGGCGCTTTTCAGAATAAGGAGTGCGCAGCCATGCTGTAAGGTTCGCAGATTAAGCATACCCAATAAGTTGGATAAACTGTACTGTAGCTTCATTTCATCCTGAGGTTTCTGCAGCAGCAGAATACATTTTATAATTAGGAACCTTGCCCAGCGATACTGACGTGTTTAAGATATCGGCAAAGAAAGCAACTGTGTTTATTATTTGCTTATTCATTCGGTTTTCACCCGTTATAAGGATTGTTTTCCGGGTGTGCTCACTTATAATGACTGCCCCTGTCTCACCCTTCATTCAGCTTCTCCTTCGGGTGGACTTTAGATGACGGTCCCTGGTAAAATTTGCCTTTAACTGGCGCGGACTCTTTTTTCAAAAACGGTGAGCGCTGTTTGCGCGATGGCGGTGGTGCAGCCGATGTTGGTGCGGGTGGAGCCGGCGGGTTCGATGCAACGGAAAGAGTCTTTTTGAGATTGCTTTTCCGGAGAAGGCTCGATGGGCCAGCGAGCAGACAATGACCAGACTTGGCAGTGCTGCAGGCACACTTCTCTAAGTCATCGGATATTATAACATAGACGGAACTCAATGCCAGGACAAACGCCAGCGTCATCGCAACAATCACCGCCATCACGCGACACAGAGACACGCGCTCTGTTCTAAGTTTGTAAATTAAGCCAATAAAAATCTTGAAAACAAGAATATCCAAATGTTCAAATCCACGAGATGGTGAGAGTTAGCATAAGACTTGATCTGGGCGAACTGTCCCGTCTAGCTAAAGATGTCAGTTAGAAGATCTTGTGTAGGGGATGAAAGATGTCAGTTAGAAGATCCTGTGTAGGGGATGAAAGATGTCAGTTAGAAGATCCTGTGTAGCTGGGGATGAACACAAAATTAGGTTTAAGTTTTAGGGGGATGGTCAAAACGCTCTTGTTTAAAAGTGCAAGGAACCAATAAAAAGCACACAATTATTCACACATTAAATGAAATAGGATTGACCCCCCTGTTATAATACAGTGTAAAATTGGGTGATGTAATTTCAGTCATATTATTGTTTCAATGATAACTTTTTGTTTGTTTAACAGTATTGTTAACCCGGTAGAGAAGTAATAACGAGGACCGACATGAAAAGATTGATAACGAAATGTAGGCTTAAATGGAATATTGTTAGCAGCGTAGTAGACCTTTGGTAAAAATGACAAGCTGGAACAAGCTTCCAAAAGCAACAGTTGAGGACACACTTGACACATTGGCAGCTTTTTCCTCCTGTCTTCCAACCCCCATGAATTCATAAAACCCTTGCTGGGTAGCCCTTGAAAACCATGCACAGTAACATCGCGAACCCCTCTGAAACATAGGAGCCAGAATGAACAATCCATTGATCGTGGGCCCTCAAAATATAGAAGAAGAAGAAAAATAATGCACACAGTGCTTAGAGGGCCCTTACCGGGCGGGGCTACAATGTCAACCATGTGACAGCATAAGGTCTCCGGGCAACTGCTCACTGTGCATTCGCTTTTAGAATGAAGTGATAAAGGAATCGCCGAATCTCCAAGACAATTCACCAAAAGGTCACGTTATTTTATTAATAGAAAATACAAATGTTAAATATAGGGAAATATTTTCTTGTATAAAATATGAATCGACCCCTTTTCCATACAACAGTTGTTGTTACTTGTATACCATAAAAAAAATATACCTACCTATCATTGTTTAATAGTTAAGTCCAAATAATGTTCACAGTGGCCTCTAAACCAGATGGAGTAGACTGCTGCTATGGTCATTAGATGGTTAGTCTGGATTCCTATGTATGTTTCAATACATTTTTAATAAGTTTCAATGTCACCCATGGGTTATGTAGGTGAGGTGGATGCACTAACTGATACCGATGATTTCAACAACAAAAAATTTCAGTGCAAATTATGGTGTGCACCTTTTCCTGTTAAAATAAATTCAGATACCTCGTCCATCTTTTCAATCAGACCACCGGGCCTTTAAAAATATTTTAATTAACTTTATTTACTTGAGTGTGGTTTGTTTATAAGTTGTTTTGGTAGTTTTTGTTGTTGGTACTTGGACATCTTTGTAATGGGACTTGGTTAGCCATGCATGCAATACCCTTGTGTTTTTGTTAATTAATTTAGCTCAGCCTTGAAGATGGAAATGAAAAAAAAAAATCAATGCTAGCTTTTATTATTGATAAAGTGAAATACATTGCAAAAGCCCTTAAAAGCTAATCTAGTTTACTGCACTTTCGTTGACGAGCATGGGCGCCCGCAGAAAACTTTGCCAGGTAGGCAAAAGCAAAAAAAAATCGATTAACTTTGCAAGGGGGGGGGGGCTAATTTTTTTTAGTAATGTTTTAATATAGTTTTAATTTACTGTAGCGTATTTGTATGGTCAACGAACGGACATGACATCAGCTTAGTTACTTTCTCTTTATTTTCTGTTCACTTTAATAAATTGTTTGTCTATTTTTGTCTAAAATTTTTTTATCCAATCAATCCAGGGGGGCAAGTGCCCCACCTTGCCCCTACCTGCGGGCGCCCATGTTGACGAGTAAACCCATCTCATCTATAATGCGAAGAGGTCTCAACGAAAACTGACTGCAACTTAAAATAAAACGACATTCTAAAACACGAACTGCTGCAAAACATTAACCTTCCTCTGGGGTCGTCCATTAATTATGTCAACAAAATAGGTGTAGGGGTGGAAATGTTTAACAATTGTTGACAGGGGGGAAGGGGTAGATTAGTTGACGTCAACAATCATGTTTTCACTATTAACTTTTTAATCTTAAAAATTGACTGCTCCTCAACAAAGGATTCGACTAATGCAAGTAGCTGCCAGGAGACAGAGAGAGTTTATGGCAATTATTGCGCACACTGACAATGACTCTATTATAAGTGCTGAATGGTTAGATGAGGATGATGTTGACTTGTCTGGTATATCAGTTCCGCAAGATGAAAATAATAAATCAGCTACTATGCCCGTGGTTACGATAGACCATCTGGCTACTCCCTGGGAAAATGATAGCAGCTAGAAACTATGCTACAATTGTCAGCTATACTGAGAATAATCATATTTATACTTCCACAAACAATGATAATTAGACTTTAAAAACCTTTTCATTGATTCTACATTATAAAATTTAAGGTTAAATACTTTCTAACTTTTTGATTAACAAGTTAAAGATGCAATAACATTTTTTTCCTACAATTTTGTGTTATTAAAATAGATCAGCACAAAGTAAAATGTATTTATATATTTATTTATATTATAATTCTTCTTTTTTTTTTTTAGTGAAAAGGGGGGGGGGTTGTGGTTATAAAAATGTACTTAAATGGTACAGCTGGCTGCTCTCGGGCGCCCCTGCCCCCTATTCTACGCTCAGATGGACCAAAGTGATTTAAAGGCAAATGTATTTTTCTTTTAAATACAATGATTTATGTTATTTTTAAAAACTATATGTTTAAATATAAAAAAATGCTGCATAAATCGGTTAATTTGCATAAAGTACATTATATAATTCCAATGATCCAATTCGTGTTATTCAATTAATCATTTTCTTTTTTTCGTATACAAACACAGTTGAATTTTATAGTTGTCGAAATGGTCACGTGATTATTTTCAACATGGCGCTCTGCTGTGCTAGTGCGTGTATTTTTTAAATTCTTGTTTATTTATTCTCAAGTAATTAGTGATAGAGTTCTCTAAGATATTTTATAATATTATTAAATATCGCATTCATCAATATTCAGCTAACAAGCTACCACAAAAATTAAAAAGTTGCAATTTTGTGACACTAATCTTGAGACGATCTGACACTCCGAAATCCGTGGTCTGTGGTTAATATTAGCATCGCCGGCTATTTGAATTCAGTTTACCCAACAAAACGCGACCAGAAACCATCTTTAGTCAGTCAAATATTTAATCAATTATTTACCCCAACAAGGATTTCATTCTTTTTTTAAGGGTATTCAATCAATATGATTCAATAGTTGCATTAAATTATAAATCAATGGAGTTCAGGTTTGTCATTGACACATCATTAACTATTATAATTATAGATTAGTTTAGTCAAGTGAACCCAGGTAGGCAAAAGCAAAAACACAACAATCCGATGACACAAAGTGTGATAAGTAAATAATTTACTAAGCCTAGAAGTAATAACAATTAATATGATTAAAATTAAATCAAAATGTTTTACCTGACTAGGCATATCTGATCTATTCTAAGTTCTGTTATTACTCAGCCCTACCACACCCCCCTACAGTACACACTCACATACTCATACATTTTTGTACCAGGAACCAAGGTAATAATAACGTTTTTAAAAAAAGTTGTCCATACAGTTTCCAAGATGCATTGAACATGTGAGACATAGATGCCCACTGGTTTAGAAAGAAATATCCTAAAGCAATTAGGCCTAATAAAAAATAAAGACTATTACTATATTTATTGAAGGGAAGCGTTATACGCAGTCGGCTGCGCATAACCCTGAGAGTTATACGCAGTCGACTGCGCATAACCCTGTGGGTTATTCCCAGCCGACTGCGTATAACTCTCAGGGTTATACGCAGTCGGCTGGGAATTTAGCCAAATAAGGTTTATTACCGCTAGTTTGGCAATTAAAAAAAAGTATTATGCGTAATTAGCCGCATGATGGGATGTTTTGTACTAGAACTTTTAATGTGTTTAATTTAAAATTTTAATTGAATTAATTTTAATTATTAATGAAATTGAATGATAGTAATAGTATTAGTATTAGTGCTATTATTAGTATTAATGCTTGTATCTTATATATTATAAGTATAAGTCAAAGTCTACATTTCTTAGAGTCTAAGCATAAGTCGAAGATTTTTTAAAAGGCATTTCCATGGTCTAAGTCTAGTTATGTATTCTGATTGATTAGGTTTTTATATGTTGCTATGACCATGTGATGTGGTTGGTTTTACTGACTAATTCAGGAAACACATTCTATTTATTTTTAAAAAAATTAAAAACAGTTTTCAGCTTCCATGCAAAACTATAACTGTATGAAAGTATTATTTATAGTGCCCCCTCTGCAGAACCCCCTGCCCCTACAGCGATTTTCTTACTGCTGCTCTCCACCCATGATTATATTTATTACTGTACCAGAGAAACATGATCTTATCTGCCACAAAATTAGTTAACAACACAAAATATATGTTAACAACACAAACATATATTATGATAATTATAAGTATAACATTATTAACATTACATTGGTCAAGTTAATTCTTATCATGTTTAAACATTTTTTAGCCAAAACAAGAGTAAAACAATAAGCGTAGTTGTTTTTGGTTCATTCTCGAGAACAAACTAACACGTTTCATGGCTTTCCGTTGGCTGGAATTGAACTCCAGACCATCAACTTGGGGTTTGGTCAGTTTTTACCATTCGACCACCCAATCACCTCAATAACAAGGCACCCTCATCTATTGATACTGTAACACAGGAAGAAAATAGACCTCACGTGACTTGCCGACTGCGTATAACTCTCAGGGTTATACGCAGTCGGCTGCGCATAACCACTCCGTTTATTGAAATCTAGATACATCCTACTATTGACGTAATTGAGTAATTGTCAATTGGGATTAAAAAATAGAGCATATCTTTGAAGATGGAAAAGTTCTCCTTGCATAGTTACAGTGCAATGGAGCAGTGAATTGATCTTGTACAATGATTAATGGTTGTTGTCTTTAAACAATATTTTCCTTTAAAAAATCTTTTAATAACTAAATAAGCTGATTATTTATAAAGAAAAGACAAATATGAAACAAAAAAATGCTATTATTCCATTTGCTTTGAATTTATTGTGATAAAATATGAGATTATCCAGACACAGTACAGGTGTTCAGTTGCTCTTGACATGTTGTGATATTTTATTTTAAGCTTGCTGGTTTTAAAAAAACTTTGTAAATAAATGCTATAGGGCAGAAGCCTATATCAAGTTTATATTTTACAAACATATATAAAAAATAGGCTAGGCCAGTGGTTCTCAACCTTCATAATACTGCGCCCATTTCATACACATATTGTGGTGACCCCCCCAACCATAAAATAATTTGCGTTGCTACTTCATAAATATGTTTTTCGATAGTCTTAGCCAACCCCTGTGTAAGTGTCATTCGACCCACAGGATTAGAACCGCTGGTTATATAATATTAATAATAACAAGTCCCTTATATGATTAGCCTACATTTTAAATTTTAAACCAGCTTTTTATCAATTAGACTTTTAACACTAACTCAGAAATATATATAGGGCTATATATTTTTTTTTCAGTTAGTAATGAGGTCCCAGAACAACCAGTTATTTCACCAGTTTCAGGCCACATCTTTGAACGTCGGCTGATTGAAAAATATATACAGGAAAATGGTACAGATCCCATTGCAAATGAAAAGCTGTCTGTTGACATGCTCATCCCCGTTAAAAGTAAGTAGGCCCTATTACTAACAGATAGTATTATAGCACTTTATATAGCCTATATATAATAATAATTTAAAGGGCTCAGCATAAATTTCATCATCAAACATGATGGTTACTGATTATTTTATTCATTTTTCTTAGGCTCTGCAATTGTTAAACCAAGGCCACCTTCAGCAACAAGTATACCAGCCATTCTTAAATCTCTGCAAGATGAATGGGTGAGCTTCACATGAATACTTCTATTGTTTTCATAATAGGCCTACTGTACTGTTAAATTATTTAAAAAAGCAAGCTGCATGTTATTTAGACCTTTTAAATTTTGATATACAAACAAAATTTGAATTCATATCATTTAAATTAATATGGACATTTTTAAATCTTAGTTATGATATAATTATTTTTTATTTAATTATTTTTTAATTTATTTTTAGGACGCAGTCATGCTCCACAGCTTTACATTGAGGCAACAACTTCAAACTGCAAGACAAGGTAAGCTGTATTTGATTTAAATAATTAAAAAATAATAATCACACTAATGTGACATAGGAAGGCTATAAAATGAAATGTTAGAATATATTCTTAATTCAGACATAACTTACAAAGACTAGCATAATATAAAAATTTGATGTTAAAAATCTATTCTTTTTCTTTCCAGAATTATCTCATGCTCTGTATCAACATGATGCTGCGTGTCGTGTAATAGCTCGTCTCATCAAAGAAGTGACAGCTGCAAGAGAAGGTATTTTGTAACTACATTATTTTGTTTCTTTTACTGACAAATGACTGACAACTTCTACGCATGCTCTCAAATCTTGCAGATTGTAATCATTTTACCATGAAAATGTATCTTTTGCTTAGAACAAGAAAAGACAATAATTTTGATATTATTTCTTATATATGTATCAGTTGTTATACAGATATTGAGTTATTCCTTTTTTGTTTGTGCGTCTGGTAAAACTCAGCTTTGGCAACATTGAAACCACAGGCTGGTCTCACCGCACCAGTTCCTGGTTATAATGCACCAGCTCAGAATCCAGTAAGTAAAATTTCCTTCTCCCTTGATTATATACATAATTTTAAATTGTATCAGTTCACACTTTTTGAAATTCATATAAAGCATTTTAGAGTGAAGGAAAAATTGCTATGTAAACTTTAGGTTAGCATATATTGAGCGTGCCTTTTCGCCAAATACCTAACAATGTATCCTACCCAAATTTTGTTTTCCACAGGCCATTGCAGCAGATGCTGGGCCTGAGTCTGCAACACAACCTGTGGAGGAAGCGGTCATGAGTGATGAAGTTATTAAAAAGGTTTGTATTAATATTTCAGCTGTCACTGTGTTAGCCGGACGATTTTTTCTAAAATATGGTTTTCAAATAACTTGCTTCCAAATTGTTCACCAAGGCTTCTTTTTTTAAAACATATTTTTTTTTTACATTTCGCCATATAGCTTCAGGACAAGGCAACTCTGCTAACTGCTGAAAGAAAAAAGGTAATTATAAAATTTTCCAGGAAAAACTCCTAGAATGGAATGTCCAACCTTCTAATTGTTATCGCCTTTTATATAGTGCAACTTATTAAGGCTAAGAAAAAATAATTTGAATCACTGTGCTGGTATCAAATTTAAAAAAAAATCTTTTACAAAACTTTGATTAAAAAATATTAAAAAAGATCTGTTTTGTGTATATATACACATTTTAAATATTTAAAAAAAAATTTCATTAAATTCTTTGTTGAAGGACAATGTAAAATGTAAATAAACCCTTAGCCCACAAACTGTCTATTGTATGTTTCTGTACTGAGCAGGCAATTTATAGCTTTTTGGATGAAAAATGTGATTTTTTTCACATGCCAATACTAAAGCTAGACCCCATAAAGTATATACTTATTGGGTTAATCACGCTGGATATAATGGCACCCTACTTTAAATGAATTTGATATTTCAAATGCTTAATTTTTTATACAAAATATTTTATTACTTTTATTATAATATATTGATTTATTTTATTTCAGAGAGGCAAAACTGTTCCAGAAGGTCTTGCAACAAGTGAAGATATACGTAACTATCGACAATTGGCATCTCATACGGTAAATAAGGAAACTTTTTAGATTTTTTTAAAAATCCTAAACTTTTGGTACCATTTGGTATTATAAACTCTACTAAGGATTAAGTTTTCCTTGAAACAAAGTAAATCCATCTTCTTTTATTTCAAATGAATGTTGTATTGAATTAATACAATTATTTGAGATTTTTCAAATAGATATTGAGATAATTTAATAAATAATTTGAAATTTGTTTGTTTTAGGGTCTACATAGTGCTAGTGTCCCTGGCATTCTGTCAGTTGATGTTTGCCTCCGAGATACATCAAGAATTGTTACAGGAGGCAATGATAAAAATGCTGTTGTTTTCAACAAGGATACTGAACAGGTCATGGCAATTCTCAAAGGTCACACTAAGAAGGTCACTAGTGTTATCTATCATCCTGAGGAGGTATGTTAAATTTTTTGTATACAATTTCATTACATAGGTATTGGTTTGAATATACTTTATCTTTGGCTATTAAATCGGGTATTGGCAGAATACTTGGTACTTGTACATGGCTAACTAGATCTGAGGAATCTCTACAGCTACTTATTATCTTGAAATTGTAAATAGATACACTAACAGTAAGGCCCCATTTCAAGATTATTTTCTGCAGAGACAGTGATCTTTTGTTTGGTCTGCTGTTTCGTTCTATGAAGGTTAACTCTGATGATACTTAATAATCAAGTTTTCAAACATTTGAGTAGCTGTAAATCATAACTCACTTGAGCTCTTGAGTTCACCCAGGTTTTTTGTGACTATTCATTAAAATTGTTAGCCCCAAAAATTTTTAACAAAGCTGAATACTAGACATTATTCAGAATTATTAATTTCAACAGGAGCTTGTTATAACTGCGTCTCCTGATAATACCATCCGTGTGTGGGGCATCACTACTGCATCTTGTGGACAGATAATCCGTGCTCATGATGCTCCAGTCACTGGAATCAGTTTGCATGCTACTGGAGACTACCTTTTGTCCTGCTCAACAGATATGGTAAGTAGTAATGACTCCCTGACAGTGCTAAATAATATTTTTTTAAAAATTGATGTAGGCTTGTATTAATCTGTTAACATTGTGTTAACAATCTGAATCTGATTCTACTTAAGCCTCTCCCTGTTTTTGCAAATGTTTGATAATACAGCTACAACCTGCTTACACCTGTGAATAAATTGTGTCACATATACCAAATGAATGAAATAGCGAAACGAGGTATGTGGAAGCTTGAAATAAGATAACAGGACAAAAACAAGGACGTTTCGGCATAAAGCCTTCCTCAGCCAACAATAGAAATGAAAATATAACATATACCAGTAGGCAAATTTTTTACAATACATGGATTACATCGTTGATTCGATGAACAGTGGATGTTATGTTCCTAGTATTTTTTTATTATGATCAGTATACATAAAAGTAAAAGGTTTTATCTTTTTAAAAAAAATTTGCAATTGCAACTTAAATTCAAGCACCCCAAACTACCCTGCAATGTTGATTTGTATTTGCGAAATTCTGTAATAAAAGAATAATAGATATGACTTTAAAATGGTTAGCCCTGCCTTAAAAATTTGATAGGTTCCCTTCAATCAACCTATAAGACTTTTGTAAAATTATTACACAATAGACCTTAAAATGAAACCCCTAAATAATAGTGAGGGCTACTGTAAAGGTTGATTCCTGACACAACTAATAATGAGTAATATTTTTCTCTTTTCTTTTCAAGCACTGGGCATTCTCTGACATTCGTACTGGTCGCATTCTTACTAAAGTTGTTGAAAAAAGTGGTCAAATGAGTAAGAAATTCTTTAGAACCTCTGTGTAACCTTTTAATATGATGTATTTCAATTTACTTAGATAAGTTTGTGAAATTTAAAGATAAAATAATATTGGCTATTGCAACATTCTAGAATAGTTGATTTAATTTAGATGATTATTATTTATACTATTACATAGCCTTATACTTATATTTAGTTCAAAAGATTTTATCTCCTTAAACAAGATAGATGTCATAATAAATTTAATTCCCAAATATGAGATACCCTAACATGACTATTATACTGAATTAGGTTTTGTAATAGAGATATTAAAGATTATATTACTTTAAGTTATAAAAAAACAATATTAAATAAAAGTTTAATCAACTTGAAGTTGAGATGAGCTACTGAAATAGGAAAATTTAGTTGCTGTTAATATTTTATAATTAAAGTTCATCACTCATTTTCAACATACATTTTATTTAAATCTCCACCAGTGTCAGCCCTGACATGTGCGCAGTTCCATCCCGACGGCCTTATCTTTGGCACTGGCACAGATGATTCAATTATTAAAATTTGGGACTTGAAGGAAAGAACAAATGTGGCCAATTTCCAGGGCCACCAGGGCCAAATCACCAGCATCTCATTCTCTGAAAATGGTATGTTCTCATAGAAGAAAATTTAAGTTTCCTTTTTTTTTCTTTTGAACGATTTCGTTTTCTACTTATGTTTTAAATGAGGAATGTTGTTACTAGCATGATCAAGTGAGTCTTTAATCTTTTCTCTGTCTAGGTTACTATCTGGCAACATCCGCAGAAGATTCGGTTGTTAAACTTTGGGATCTTCGTAAGCTCAAGAACTTCAAAACTCTACAATTAGAAGACAACTATCAAGTTAAAGGACTTTGCTTTGATCAGAGTGGCACCTACTTGGCAGTGGCTGGTTCTGATGTCAGGTAAGTTCTCCAACATCTTGGTTCTATAACTACTTGACCTTGTCAAAATGAGTCAGTACAAGTAGATGTACGGTAAAGGTTCTTTTAGATGGTTTACATAATTGAAGTTTTGGATGTAGCTGGGTAAATGATTTATATTTATGTCTTTAAAATATAAAAAATAAAAACAATCTGAAGAGGAATTACTATGTTTATGAAGTATGTAGTAGGTTTTGATTTGTAATAGTATTTTGTTAAAAACAATCACAATTATTTAAATGTAATTTTTCCAGAGTCTACTTGTGCAAACAGTGGAGTGAGTTGGCAGTTTTCAATGATCACACAGCTGCAGCAACAGGTGTGCGTTTTGGTCACAACTCCACATTCATTACATCTGTTAGTATGGATCGTTCACTGAAGTTTTTTGGACCTGCAGAGTGATGGAGATTTTGTTTAACTTTTATGTGTCAACTGTTGTTTTAAATATTGTTGTTTTTTTTTTAAATTTTATCTTTGCATTTTAAATATATTTTGTTATCTCTAAGGGCATCCCTTTACGTATGCCCTAACAAAATTTATTTAGTGTTTTTTTTCTTTAAATGCATTGAAGTTGAAGATTGGAAACAAGAAAATAGTGTTTGTTTTAGTTTTAAATGTATTATTCTTATAGGTAAAACAATTTATAATACCGGTACTGCAATCAGATAAATGCATGTTTGAATTTAAATATGTATTTCACCAAAATATGTTGTGTAGTATTCATGGATATATTAAATAATATTGTTTTCAAAAGAATTAGGTTTGGTCTGTATCATTTTTGAAATTGAGAACAACAAAACTAGAAATACCTTACTCAGTGCATACTTAAGTATTGATGACCCTTTTGTAGCATAAATTACACAGTTTGCTATGCTGACATAAATATTTGTTAATGGAATTGTTATAACTTTGGTACTGCTTCTAAATGTGTGTGACACTTGTACAGGAGGAATACAGTTTAGATGAGCGGCTTTTAATAGATGTTAAATAGATTCATTTTTTATAAATAAGATGTGTACTATAATGTAGTAAAAGCAGCTCTTCTAGAGCAGTGGTTCTCAACCTTCCTAGTGCCGCGACCCTTTAATACAGTTCCTCGTGTCGTGGTGACCCCCAGCCACACAATTATTTTCATTGCTTCTTCATAGCTGTAAGGATATGTGTTTTCAAATGGTCTTAAGCGACCCCTGGAAAAGGGTCATGCGACCCCTTTAGGGGTCGCGACCCACAGGTTGAGAACCGCTGTTCTAGAGGAATGAGTTGATCTGTCTTATCTAAAGAAAAAAAAAGTATATGCTTTCTTTCCTTTGCTGCTTTTATCACTTCTAAAAAGAAAGGAATGTTCTCTCTAAATCTCTTCTTGACACTGATAGAAATTATAATACATCTTTTTTCAATTTTATTGTGTTTTTAATGTTTTTTTTAAGTGAACTTGCCTGTTCTTATGGGCTTACATATATCCAAAGTCTGTAAAAGAAAATACTGTTATAAAACCAAGGGAGCATATTTTTAGGTTATTTTTCCTTAACTTGCATTGTTTATCCTACACAATGACATAGTTGCAGAAATCATTAATTTATAAATATTTTAAATTTAATGCAATTTAACTTAATTTACCATTTTCTAAATGTGAACAGTGAAAGGCAATTGTAGAAATTGTAATCAACAAAAAATTATTTTGTTTTAATCAATAAAATGATAATTACTTGTATGGGAGTTATTTGTGTCTGTGACTTTTTACACTAACTTTCCAAATAAAATATTATCAAAACATTTTTCTTGACAAGTCCACTTTAGTGGATGGATTATTTAAAACTTTTAAAGCAAAATAATTTTTCTTGATCATTTTAAAATCAATTTTTAATATTTGCTGAATGCAAAATAATTTCAGTCATATACTTATACATTCTTGAAAGGTAAATACAGGCATCACTTCATTGAAAAGAATTAGTCACAGAAGCATTGAAAAATTTTAAATTGCGGAGAATAGTCTTGAATTCATTGAGCTGGATGCTTCATTAAGTGAATTTAAACAAATGAAGTTCTTAAATAAAGGAATACTGGATTACCCATACCTTACACATACATGTAGTTAAAGTTGTATTGACTGCTATGGAGTTTTGTACTTGTTACAAATGTTCTTTTTAAAATTAAATACTTTATAAACCATGGTTCTAGTTATACTATATCGTTTTATTTTGTTCTATTAGTGCAGTGCTGTCCCACCCGGGGCCCCTGAACTGATTTAAAATGGTCTGCCACAGCTTTAGAAATTTTTTTGACGTGTGTTAATGGTAAAAATATTTACAAACGACATTAATTGAATCAGTATTGTTGGGAAATCGAGTGAGAGTACAGAAGTCTTGTTGTAACATGGAAAAGGGGTAGGTAACAAAATCGTTTCAGAATCGGCCTCATTAGCCATCTGCGCACCCACACACAGAACAGCACAAACTCTGATGATTGAAGTGGTCATGGTCGACTTCCGACTGACGAACAACACATTCAGAGATCAGTGTATGTGACGTCGAACAATTGAATGTCTTTGGAAGCAACAACGTAAATGAAACTAGATTCTCCGTATAAGGACTAACATTAAGTCTGTAAAAAATAAAGCTTTGACTGATGAACATTTAGAAAATATAATAAGGCCAGGTGCTACTGAAAACTGCTTCAAATTAAGAAACAGAGTACGTATCATAGAAAAATATCTCACCAATGTTATTTGCTTTATTTATCTTTTTGATGACCCGATAATGTTATTGGATGTATGGATGCATAAGATAAGCATTAATAATGTGAACAATTTTCTAAAAAAGTTTTTTAAAAATTTAGCTTGAGATGTAATGTGCAGCCCTCCACATGGTGGAAAATTTTTTATTGGCCCACCTAGTCAAAAAGATTTGACAGCACTGTATTAGTGTTTAATTTAAGAATAAGTTATGGTCCGTTTTGATGTACAACAAATAAAAAAATAATTAAATGAACACATTTCTTTTGATTCAACACTATTACTATTTACTGATTTAACTAAGACAGGCAGTAGACAGGCAATCAATTAAACAAATTTGAGTTTAAAAAAAAAACTTTAATAAAATATTGATTAAATATGTAGATATATATTACATAGTTATAATCTTGTTAGATGAGTCATAATACCAGGAATGTAATTAAAATAATGAGTGAAGGATGTTGATTGATTTAGCATATAACATTTTATCCTCATGCTATCCTCAAATGGAAACGAATTCAATTTTATCAAAGATTTTAAATTATTTATTTATTCAGTTGGATCTAGTGCTATAATTGGAATAGAAAACAGTGTAACAGTGGACATATATTAAAAAATTAAATTATGGGGTGACCAAGAAATATTTTTGTCAAGCTGAGGTATTTATTTAGTCCACCCAAATAATTTTGATAGATCAGTGGCTACTAGTTACATTGGTTATGCTTTTTAATGAATAACAATTTTAGTTTTATTGCACCATTGTTAAACAATTCACTGCAGTTATGACTTTAACATGTTCAATTAACAAATTTGTCAAATTTCCCTTATAATAATATTCATAGTAAAAAAAATAAGTTACAACTAGCATACAGGAAATTTCAATTGTTAAAAGTTTAATGTTTTAGAAACTAAGGTAGATGCAGCTAAAATTAAAACTAAGATTTATAAACAACATTTTAGTCATTTAAATTTTTTTTTACATGTAATAGAATTTTTGGCAAATGAAATTTTTTTACTTTCAATTAATGTTTTTCGTAACATAATTTTTTCTGAATTTAAAATAAACCATTAAATAAATTTAGTTAAATATTAAATGCATCTACTTTTATATGGGTTTCGATGGATAGTTAAATATGATACCCTCTAAGACAGTGGTTCTCAACCTTCCTAATGCCGTGACCCTTAATACAGTTCCTCATGTGGTGAGCCCCAACCATAAATTATTTTTGTAGCTTTTTCATAAATATGTGTTTTCCCATGGTCTTAGACGACCCCTGAGTAAGGGTTGTCTGACCCCCAAAGGGATTGCGCCACACAGGTTGAGAACCGCTGCTCTAAGGTACGGTCTTCATAACTGACTATTTTCCTAGACTAGACTGTAAGACAAAAGTTTTTTTTTTTAAATAGGTAAAAATATTTGTTTTATTATTATGGAACCAACAAGAATACTAAGTTAATAAATTTACTTTGATTTACTGTTGTTTTAAAAAAAAAATTTTCAACACATTTAATAAACATTTTCCATCTTTGATAAATCATAAATGGTTGTATATTTGGCTCATGATTGATGTTGAACTTAAACATACAATAAAATTATAATCAATATAAATGTAAATTTTGATCTGACATGATGGCTTCATCAGTTTAACAAACCTAAGTTTAATATCACCTGTTTCAATCAAGATGTTATTTTTTTAAATGGTAAATTTTATGACATTTTTTCAAACAAATAGAGTTTTGAGGTTAAATAATTCAGGTGAACATAGACATTTCATCAACCTATGCAAATTTATAAAATAACATACACCTCAATAATAAAACAGTGCATGTCTACATGGCATATTGATAATATAGTGAAAAGTTGAAAAATTGAAATAAATGTTAAAATCACATTTAGGTATTTTTAAAGGTTTACAATTACAGGGTTAAAAACTGATCATGTCATTTTGTAAAGAAAAATATTAGTCATGTATCATAGCTTATAAATTGCAACATTCTAAAGATCTTCATAAAATGAATAATTGTTTTAAAAAAAAAAAACAGCAGGAACTGCAGATGTCATGCTTTTTAGGAATTTTTCAGTTAAATATTTTATTAAATAAATACAAAATTGTTTTCAGTTAATTTAATTTTTTGGTCAACTTTAAATGAGGGAACAATCCTTGCACAACGTTTCCTGTCATTAATGATTAGCAAAAAACTATTATAGCTTTTTTAAATTCGCTGAGTATTTTGCAATATATTTGATTTACATACATTGTAATAGTTATGATCATTGGTACCAAATCACAATCAAATTTTGTCTTGTTAGAATCAAAATGTCATTTTGTTTCAAAATTAGTGAAGATAAATATTTCAGTGATCACGATGACAATACATTGAGTCGAAATGGGATTTTGGTTGAAGAGCAAATGTAATTATGAAGAACATTGCACGCATTTTGAAAAAACAACATGTATTAAATTTAAAAATCGACACACATCTAATTGGGAGAGCAATGAAATACACATCTATACAGAAAGTAAATTACAACAATTTTAAAACTATTTTTTGAATTTCACTTCAAAATATGATTTGCACACGTCCATGGTAAATAATAATTCCAGAAAATTTTAATGAGACAGTAATGAATTTATCATATAATTTTTCTCTTAATTTAAGATAGAATTCTGGATCTACAAATGCTGCAAACTGATTTTAAGGCAAAGATAGATAGATATATTATCAGTTACATTCATCCATTGAAATGTTTATGTTGAAACAAAAATCAAGAAGACCAGATTAATTTTGCTTGATTAAAAAACAAAAAAAAATGAAGCAAATAAACAAAACAACAATATTGTGAATAGTTTCATACAGATAAAAAAAATATAAATTCATCGACTTCTCCTACTCAGTAACACAAAAGAACTATGATTTAATAGGAAATTAGAAAAAGTACTAACAAGCCATGCATATATTGCCACAAGAAATGCAATTTAAAAAAATACTTCAGAGATAATAAAAAAAAAATCTCTTTGAACAGAAACTCATTGAATGAAATAGAAAAAAAGTTAATAAAATTTAAAAAAAACAAAAAAAAACACAATTCAAAAAGAAGTTTATACTCCATTTACTTTATTGATCTAAACTGATTGAAACAAAAGTTTCATCATTTCATTGAATCCAGACCTGAAATTTGCAGCTTGTTTTTAAATTAAACACAATTAAGCAAAAATCCTAACATTTAATTATAGAGAAATGGATAACTACCAAACAAAAGTCTAAGTATAGAATTATAATTAAAATGCATTTTAAAATGTATCACAATGCTGCATTTTTTTCATTGCACCACACCTTGTATAGTTACCGATGTCTTAATATTTGTCCAGCATCTCAAACAAATTCCAACAAAATATGAATGCATATCTTCAAAAACAATGAGGCCAAAGTAAGGACAATACATAGCTACAACATTTGTTCCCCATATTTGGAAACCTATTATTCTTAAGAAAAGCTGTTTTAATATTGATACATTTCAATTCACTTAGATTCCCTTTTTGTCATGGACTAGAGCTAATGGGTGGTCTATTCATATAAACTGATAACTTTTTAAATATTTTTAATATGGTGTTTTGTCCTATGATTACTGTAACTAGGCTTGGTATACCTGTTTCTATTTACCATTGGTATAGAATACATAGACATGACTTTGGAAAATTGGTCTTTATTCAACAAATACATATCTGAAAGTAACTTGTACAAAGACATTTAATTATATTAAATACATTTCCTGACATCATGCATGAAATTGTAGAATTTAACTTTTCATATCCAAGTTTTCCAATCCTATTATCAAAGAAAAAATTGAGCTAAAACAAAAAAATTAATTAAATCACAAAGAAAAAGGAACAAATCTGTGAAATGGATTTACCAACATATTTGTTAAGGATAAACAATACCAACTTGAGAAATAAAAAAAAAAATTTGATGGCAAAATTAAAAAACATGACATTTTTCAGGGATTTAAGAAACAGATAATTTTATTAAATGTCAACAAAAACAAGAAATTGAATAAATGAGCATATTCCGTTTACACAGACTTAAAAGTGCTTGACAAACGTAACAGATAAAGTGTCATATTAAACATTGCCTTAACAATTATAAAGCACGATGGCACATAGTTACTAACAATGGTCAGATTAAAAAAGTCTCCACCAATAAAATACAAGTGGTGAATCTTGCGTAAATAGTAATAATGATGTTTTTGTTTAACTGATATATATAGCCTTTATTTATAAACTATCTCTTCAGAGAAGTTATTAAGGAACAAGATACTAAAACGGATTTGCACAGTTCATAAAGAAAAAAAGAGTTTTCTTATAGTATTTTTGTTAAAGTTGGTGAAAAATATGTCATTGATAAAATGATATGTTGGGACAAAAAAGAATTGTCAAAATAATGAAAGACAAAATGTGACCAAATGTATTCATTTAAGAGTGAGCATATTAAAATCACATGGATCACAACATTCATACAGAGATAAAAATGTATCACAACATTCATACAGAGATCACATGTGTCACAACATATATCAGAGATCACATGCATAAATTAGCAGCAAAAAGTTGTGTGGACTGTTTAGTTACAATTAGCGCTGGCTGCTGTTTAGTGTGTTGTAAAGGTTCACTCTAACATTTATGATTGTCACATCTAACGAACAAGTTCTTTAGATCTGATCTGTTACTCGATGTTTAATTTCATCTCAACTTGTATGTCATTTTACCCTGGATAAATATGTTAAACCTGTTAAGGACTCAAGAAAACACTAATTTAAAAAAAAATCTTAGTCCTTCAATAAAAGTTAATGGATGGTTTAATTTTTTTTTAAATATAAAAACATTACATTTTTTATTAACATACACATCAACACGTAATTTGTTCCATTGGGTTGCTATGAATTGAACAAGATTTATTAAATAAATTTTTTTAATCTAGTTTCAATATAAACAGTCTCTTCTCCCTATATTTTTAAGTAAACTAAATAATTTAAAATATTCCATTATTATTAATGTTATCTTTTTTACTATCAATGCTAAAACTGACTAATGGAAATATTTACTAGTCTAAATTACCATTAATAGTTTTTATATTTTTTAAAATGATTTTATACTGCACCATATAGAAATATTTTTAATTAAATAATTGTAAAGCGCTTAGAGCTGTAGGGTAAGCGCTATATAAAAATGCCTAAATAAATAAATGAATAAATATCAACATGAGAAAGAAGGCTGCATAAATCTGTTAAAAAGGGATTCATCAGGAGCCTTTTCAAAGGGGAGCAACCCAGTCCATATATTAAGGGTTCAAGGGAAGAACCAGTGATGTCAGTTTTTTTCCCTCGAAATTTGCAAGTTGTGTGCTACATTCCATTCAATAGAATAATATGACACGTAGGCCCAACTGAAAAAGCAGCATGGTCATTAAATAAATATTAGACATTTTGATATTTTCATGAGGAATTTTCAAACTTTATTATCAATTTTTCACAAAACTCTCAAAACCTGACATCACTGATTTTTCCTTTGAACCCCTTCATATGTGTATTAAGATAAAAAAATTGCCATCTAAAAACTATTAGTAAAACCAACTCAGAAAGGTCCTTTTGAATATCACAGATACGTTGATGAATTTCAAACTGCAAAGTGAATAAGTAGAAAAATTTTATTTAAAAAATTTGTTTAACGAATGAATAATGAAACAGAAGCAATCATCTAGTTTTAAGACAGTATTTTGTTCCACTAATAATTCACCTAGAAATTAGTTCACATTCGCATGGCATTTGTGTTCAAGTTGCAAAGACACCCATGGCTATAATTACAAATACCACATCAGTATGTTGAAAAGGGTCTATACCAATCAATAACCTTCTTTTGCATAGACAGAGGAGCTGTTTCACAATCCTATAACACATTCGGAATTTAAAAAATTTTTGGGGGTTCCCCCCAAACTTTTTTTGGTTGGGGGGAGGGGGGAAATAGAGAGAAAAAAAAGGGGGGGGGGACATAATTATATAAAAAGACATCATTGAATTTAAATAAATCTGGAGTTTTGTGGTGTTTGGGGATGAATTACTTCTAACAATGGTAAAAATAGAACCAAGAGAAATAAGAGAGCTTAGAGATGTAAGATATGTCTGGTGAAAGTGCTAAAATATGCTACAAAGCATTTTAAACAGATATAAGAATATACTCCCTCTAGCAGTTGGGATTTATTGATCAACAGTGTTAAAGTTATGCTTTATCTATGTATATATAATAATTTTTTACCTGTATATAAATAAATTAAAACCTCTAATCTGATGCTGGTATGTCAATGTGTTGACAAACTGAAAAAGTACATGACTGAAGTCTCAGGTTATGGCTTAAACTATGATAAAAAATTCAATGGGTTCTGTTGTCACTTATGTTAAATAAGTCAATAAATATAAAGATGACTGGAATGATAAATTTACAGGGTTGCCTGGTGACAATTATTTTACTCTTTCCCACTTTCAGAACACCTACTCAGACACTTAATACACAACTGACAACACACTTTTGTGTTCACCCATCATAAGCTTTAAAGATGAGCAGTCACTCCACGATATGATGTTCAGACTTTATCTGTTAAGTTGTCAGCAAATCCATTTGAAAGTGGAAATGACCATAGTACACTAATATCCAAAGAGGCAAAATGCACTGACAGCTATGATACAATAAGGCTTTGTTGAGTATTTCTTTGGTTGTATTGCCGTTTTTATGACTGAGAAAAATCTTAAGTCTATCTCTACAGTATATTACAAAACAGATCTAATTCCTATTTTCTAACAATGTTTTACTCATTTTTTAAATATTTTAATCACTAAATAAAGTATTAAAAAACATATATGCAGGCTAAAACAACAAACAATAGGAACATTCTTGACACACACAAAAATTATACTCTAATTGGCTTAAATTAAATATGTAAATAATTGTGCAATTATGTACTGACAAATAATTTTATTACCATTCAACATTAAAAAAAAAAAGAAAAGATATTTATACTTAAAATTATTTGAAGCAGATTCTACCTATGTTAGCTTGTCACCATTAGATAGTAGTAGAGAGATCATTTTTGTAAAAAAATAAGCATTTTCATATTGAGAAGGCTTTAGAGGAGATACTCTAACTATTGTTTTTCAATGCGTTCATAAAAAATTTATGATTTAAAAAAACATTGGTACCATAAACTTCCCTCTTTTACATTCATCTCTGACCTCATGTACTAAACTAATAAATACTATGAAACAACCTGGTTAATCTTGCTTTAACTCATCACGGTGGTTTAAAGCTGATGATGGCACTTGATGGTCCAAATAATCTCTCAGAAGCTGGATCCTATCAGACATGACCCCAGCCGCTCCCAGACTAAATGCCCTTTTAAAGTCTTGTTCTCTGTTCAACACCCACAAGTACGTCTGGATTTTTTTAAATGAAAGAAAAAACATCATGTATGACTTTACATGAACAAATAATATCAGTTAATTTGGAAAACATGGAGAGTCTATTATGTAATTATTTGTCCCATTTATTGCAATGTACATGACAAATGAGGGACATGCTATTTAAAATTAACTTGTCTAAAATCATGGCTTATCTCTTATTGCTTCCATTAGCGACATTTACAGAAGTAAATAGATTTTACCTGTATACCCCGATCATCTAAATGCTTGATCAATGAAGGCCTCATTAACAGTCTGCAAGGAATCACACAAAAAAGAAGGTTTTATTCTCTGATCATACCTTCTAAAATATCTTTTGGGGGTATTGAATTATTTATAAACCTAAGGTGTGGGTGCAATTAAATTATATTTCAGATATGGCGTGGGGGTATTTAGATAAAATCGACAAAATAGATACTCACTTATCCATTATCCAGAAAAACACTTTGGCTTTGCCATTCAAGGGTTTGTTAAGAAGCTCATCTCTGAAGAGAAAAAGAATGGTATCAATAATCTACACATTCATTGTGGAAACTGTTTTTATTACCTCAATGGCTAAGAATTTAAAATTCATTTGAAAAAAATAAAATGGTAAAGTTGGCTGCCTTTTTACTATACTAAAAGCCAGGTTGTTTCCCAATTTTAACACTGTTTCTCTAAAACTAGGTTACAAAATCAATATTAGATTATATTGTAATCATCTTGGGCCAATAATCTTGTTTCCAACAATGCAATGGTATATTTTTATTTCCATACCAGTAACTACTTACGCATCAAGCATGATTCCTGGTACTATGATTTCTAGGAGAGATTCTTTTATATTTACAAAGGGAAGCAATCCAGTCCAGAACAAGACAATAAGGGTGATCACACGACGTAGCGAGAAAATAAGTGGGACGTTTGGATTCTGAGGAGTAAATTTAAAAAATATAAATGTATTTGTCCAATAAATGTGTATTTAAATAAATTAAATTTGCATAAAGAAGTAAAAGTTGTTATATCAGTTTAAGGGATATAGATTTAAGAAGAGTTTATAACTAATTTAACCTCTTCACATTGTTAATTAGTATAGTGAGAAATTAAAAATTCATGGCGTTAAGGAATAATTGGAGATTAATATTAATTTCCTGTAAAGAAAGATAAAATACATGGTTTAAATATATTCACCAGTTTATAGAGTTTCTGACAAACTTGATCTGATCTGTTTCCCCAAGCAGTCATCTCCACTCTGTTGTAACGTCTAATTAATTCATCCACCTGACAAATTTGTCATTTGAGAAAATAAAGAAAAAAATTAAAAGAGTAGTTTAAGAATTCATGAATTTAAAAATTGCAGCCAGCATTATCTCTCTCCCCCACATAAAAAAACATTTTTTTTCCCGAACCATCCAACATAAATTGATTGCATAATACTAAATAAGAAACCCTTAAGATATTTGAGAGACATATTTTTTCCTTTTCGGAATTAAGAAGTGTAAACAAATTTGAAAAAAACAACAACAAAAAAACCCAATATTAAATTTAAGACATTAAAAATATCATGATACAGTCTAGCCTCTAGCTTTAAATTTAGTAGATAACAAGATAACCTTTTGCATAAGTTCATCTTTGTCCACTTTTATATCAATATTTATGGCCATGTCTGGAAACTGTTGGAACACCTCCTCAAGCAGAGGGATCTTTCTGTCAGTTCCTTCACCACACAATTCTGTGATAACAATAGCATATAATAGATGGTTAAGATAACCATTTATTAACTTTTACAAACTTTGTTCAATAAAAGAAGGCTTTTAAAACTCATAAATTTTTCCATATCATAATATAAAAGAAATTTGATGGTTATGAAATCTATGAAATATAACCCCGAAAAAAACAAACAAGGGAATAAATGTAACAATACTGACAGTATCTCTCTGCCCCCATTATTTTTTTATTGTCAGCTTACTTTGATAGAAATCAACTGTCACCTTGCTTTTCATCATTGGCAGATCCTAAAAACAAAATTATTAAAACTATTTTAAAAATACCACCTTATAAATATAGTGCAGGGTTATATTTTTAATTCTTCTACCAAAAAATTGTCCTGCTAATCCTACAATTTCTACCCAGTTATATAGTTACCCCGCTTTTCCATGAACATCTATATTTGTGAATAATGGATGCCAAACAAGTTATTTCTTAACATAAGTGTTCATCAAATTTTTCAGTAATTCTATTTTTAAAAATTTGAAGATGAAAGAACTTAGGACCCAACTCCACAAAAAATTACTTCCAGAAGCTGAAAACTCATTTCATGGTTTATGAGAGATCATCTGTGTTATGACTTACAAATGATTAAACTTTCTGAACAGAGATCAAAGAAACTTTAATCTATAAAGACCAAAATCATTTTTACCACCGTCATAATATCAGGAGCGGGAACCCCTAAGCAGATGTTTGACTAAAGATCTTTTGCCTCCACTAATGTATGAAACAGTTATAATCTTACCTCAAAGTTAGTTTCTGAAATAAGCGTTGAGCAGTCACAGGTCCTGAAAAGTATGTCATCATGTGACACAACTACCTGTCCATCTTTGGTCAGATGACAGTCAATCTCCAGCATATCTGTACCCACATCCTGGGCACTGAATTTCAATGTTCAATTAATTTACTATCAAAGATTTTGAGTAATGAGAGAAAAGAAGAGGAAATGTTAAATATTAAAAATTGTATTTCTTCTTATGATAATGTTTCTCAAAACTAGTTATTTAAGCTCTTCATGGGTAAGAAGGAGCCTGTGACTTAAATCTACTCAAACACTTAAAAATGAGTCAATGGAGGAACTTCCCCAAATCATATCTTCTTGAGCATTGCTTGAGGGTAGGTGGGTATTGTGTTTTTTCCAAGCATTTCTCAGTGAAAATGTTTCAGAGGGAAGTGGAGGGAATTTTAGTAAAAAGGCTGACTGCTTTTTTCTTATTCTTTATATTTCAAATAATTGTTAAATTTCATCATCCATGTATATAATTTGTATCATCTCAATAAATTTTAATGTCATTCATGGTTTTCTTTTTTAACTGATCATCATAGAAAAAAAGTACATACTGTTTGAATGCCTCCATGGTATTTTCAACTCTCTCTGCTGCGCCTGAAATGATGAATATACAGTTGATAGATGATTAAAATACACATTGTAGTTTTAACAATTGACAATTATAAATATAGACTGTAAAGAAAAAAATTTACATTCAGAAAAGATGTATAGAGGAGTGAAAGATAGAGTGATATGATAAAAGAGTGTTTTACATAGGAATTATAAAGGGATTCTAAACAACTTTAATTTCTTATGCTTGTAAAGACAAAATAATGTTTGCATGTATTCATGAATTCCTTTTGTATATTTTGAATGAATTATTCTGACTCTGGCATTAACAACACAAATTCTAAGAGAACAAAACATTAATTTAAAAAAAAAAATCTGAATCTTTGATACGATAAAAACTATAAACTGAATGACGCTAATTCTTACCTCCCCTGTGGCTTATATGCTGAGCTCGAAACTTTAGAACTTTTTTCTTATGAAGAAGGTGAGGGTATCTCAACAGCACAAGTGATGTGAAAATGTACCCACCAAAAAGAATGAGAAAAACCATTTTTTACCTGTGATTTAAAAACAAAAAAAATATAATTTAACAATAAAGAAATGTGATTTGGCACATGGAGTCAATTTTTAAACAGATATGTTCACAAAATAGGCCTCAACTCAGCTTCTTACGCAATTAACAGCAACCACTTCCCTCTTCTTCTTTGTTCCAAACATCCCACCTTCTCTTTTTTGAGTTCTTTTCCTGAAGAAAATTCTCCTATAATTTTTGCAATTAATCTTTGATTTCACTTTCAGTTCACAGCACATACTTCAATGAATGTTTCAAAATTACGGCCATGCTAGTTTTAAGTTGTCATTTATATTTTCTAAAGGAGTTTTTCTTTCTTTTCACTTACATACATTTATGTTTGACTTTAAAATATTGTTTAGGTCCTTTTTCCCCCCACTAATTATTTCTTTAAAAAAATTCAACAATCGTTATGTGATGTTGCAATCTCCTTGTGTTATTATTTATAAGTGTAGAAAATGTTTTAAACCTGAGACTGAAATTATTCAGTGGTTATGAAAAATGAGCCTATTTCGATTAACTAATGATGAAAATGAATAGTCTTTGAGATATTTGCTTTAATTTCCCCCTTGGTGCCTTGGTTGGGTCTAATAATGAATCATCCTTTACTAGGCCGCAGCCGCAGGTCTTTACTAACTCTAGTCCTGACTGTTACTTAACTTATTAATTATAATGATTATTCATTATTGGTTAAAAATTTAAATCTTGCAGTGTTCTTCTTCAACTTTATCCCTTGATTGTGAATTATTTAAAACTGAAAAAAAAAGCTATAGGGGTCATCCTTAAATGACTCACGCGCCTGGGGGGAGGGGTTCCGTCAGATTTGTGTGACGATGTGTGACAAAGGGGGGGGGGGCCCTCAAGCAATGTGACGTCACATGAAAAGCGGAATATTGTAGTAAAGCTTTGCACTAAATTACAGACATTTTTAACATTATTCTTTTATACATTTATAATTATTTTATTTTTAAACTACTATCACTGAGAGAATCAGTACAGGCAGAGCCGGCACTAGATGATGGCGAAGTGGGAGACCGCACGTTGCTGTAGTATATTTATAATATACCTCAGCCTGCTAATAGTTCCTAATCCAGTCAACCCAATCTTCGGAGTTATTAGATAGTCAAATGGTCTGAAGGTCAGTCTGGCAACCGTTATGACGCGTCCCACTACCCATTATGACCCAAGGCCCAGTACGACTATAACGTGTCTTAATATCCTATCGGCGGAATATATAACGTCAACGGCCCAGCAAAATTCAATTTGCCAAAGGCCCCGCATCCTCCTAGCGCCGGTCCCGAGTACAGGTATGCAAACCCGTTTACTCTCAAACGTTTAAAATCGTACAATATCATCACATAATTGTTCAGTACCTTATATTTATAGTAAAAAATAAACATACAGTATATATAATGTTTTATACCTCAAAATCGTACATTGTACGCCAAAATCGTAAGAGTAAACAGGTCTGGGTATGTGCCGTCCAAAGAATGGCCTCTGATCAAGTTACAGGACGCCAAGGGAGGGGAATCGGAGTGTAGTTACAATGACAGTCGTGAGAATTAATGGCTAAATGTGGACGCGGGAAGTGGGATGGAGCGGAAAAAAAATGTTGACCGCGGGGTGGGGGTTATCTTAGTAAATGCTCTAGGGCAGGGATTATTAACCCTTTTTGCAGCGTTGCAGGCCCACTCCGTTTTAAACATCCCTCCCCCAACCGTATAAATTACATTGTAATAAAATTTAAAATAATTTTAAAATTTAGCTATCGTAGTTTTATTTCTTTAATTAACTTTTTATAAATGGGAAAAAATTACCAATACACGAAATGCGCAAATGAAATTCAGCATTGACTGCTGCTCATCAAAATCCATAAACACTTGATTTTTTTTTTTTTTTTTAAAAGCAGCAACCATTAGCAATGGCAGCAAATACAACCAGTGGCATAGCTAGGGTTGGTGTCACCTGGTCCGGTAAGCTCGTGGTGTCACCCATCCACCCCCCTTTTCATGATGTATTTCTTCTTGTTAAACTTAGTCCACAGTATAAGAAATACAAGAACAAAAACAAATTAAATGAAGCTAAGGAGGTAAATGTATTTCAGAACTGTAACTTGTACTTAGAATCACTAATTGTTATCAAAGGATAGTTGTATTTCTTAGAATTTAGATAAAAATAGCTTCCTGAAACTTACAAAAGTTACCGAACACTTCATTCGGCGTTGAAACATGGTCAAAACGATGTTTTCTGACCTAATAATATGGTAATCTAATTGCCTTGGCATCAACCTTGAAATTTTAATATTAACGAAACACGCATTTTGATTGGTTACACGGGTGGAAAATGTACGTGTCATCTGTTATCCTTTTATGAATTTCGGTTAGACCGAACAGTGTGTGCTCTGTAATTAAGTTATTTTTCAATTTGGTGTAACCCCCTGTAGGTACTTTGACACAAAATTTAAATATTGTCTGATTATTTTAAAGGGCTAGCTATAAGCTTTATAACAACACCAATTTCATCTTTCTATCTTTTATAGAAGTGGAGTTTTGATTTTTTTGGTGATTTTTTTACAACCCCCTTCTTTATCTTTGTATTTAACTGAAAAACATGTGACCAACTTTCCAAATTTCGGACTTATTTTGCCCACAACTTTTTTATTCTAAAAGATAATGCTACCGAATTTTCAGGAGACATTCTTAATGCAATATACAACCCAATGAACAACTATACTTTTAAATAACATCAGTACTTTGTATTTTGAAAAATTTTATTTGAGGGTATGTTAAGAAAAATGTGAACAGAAAATTGGAAAAATCTTTACTGACAAAGAAAAAAATTACAGTAATTACAGGGTAACTTGTTTATTTGATTTGAACTAATTATATGCTTGTGTGAAATTTTAAATCAATTCTTACACTCATAAAAAGGTAAGTAGTTTCTTTTTTTAAAATAAAATTGAATGCATATATCATGTAATTATGAATAAAAATCACTCAAAATCATTTTTTTATCTACTTTCAAACGTGCCTCCTTGTTCGTTGATGGAAGGAATTCCATTGAGTTCTGCAAAAGAAAATTTTCTCTTGTATCTGAAATAAACCTAGAAAAACATCTTAATCTATTCAATCATAATCCTGAATAATATTCTGAATATACAAAATTTCTTTTTAAAATATAAATTATTATTCAATTTATAATTATTCATTATGTGTTTATTAAAACTAGTTTCGTTTTTATTTTATTATTTATAATTATATAATTAGACATTTTTTTTTCTAACTCTATGTCATGTCATAACCAGTAGTTAACTATTCTTAAAATTTTATGATTAAATACCTTATTTAATTTAAAAATACTATTTAAATTTGGGCTTTAATTGCATTTGTTGTAATAGAATAGTATTAGTTTATTAGTATTAGTATTAAGTGATTAAGCTTAGGCCTAGGCTTAAACTATACCGGTACACATAATTTTCAATGTAATAAATAAAACTTAAAAGCACCCTTTGGTTTTGGTTACTACATAAACTTTTCAAGCTTGTTTATAATATTTTCTTCAAATTATTTATTATCAACTTCTTATAATTATTCAGATGTTTAAGGTTTCAACCATAACGAATAATTTCATAACTGACAGTGATAATAACCATTTCCGGCTTCTCAATCAAAAAATAAAAAATAAAAAAATAATAATTTGGGGACATTTTCATACCCCCTCTACTTTGGGAGATGCATAACTTTTCTGGGACATAGTCAATGATAATTACTCCAATAATGAAAAAACTCTCAAATTGAATTTAGTTTGCACTGAACTACACCTTATTTGCCTAAAATAACTAATAAAAAAAAATATTTATGTGATTTATATACTTGCCGAGTCATTATAATAATACGGTCCGTGATTCACAAAAAATCTCCTAGCATAAATCAATATATCACCGGAACACAAAAACGGATACATCACTGATGAGGAAAGCAATTATTTAACCCTCTTGGGACGGAGCCTTTTCGGGGTGTATGTGCCAAAAAGACGGAGCACTTTTTACGAGCTCGGCACTCACATTGTAAAAAAATGTATAAAAAATAAACTATTTCCTTAATATATGTAAAACTATGTATATTCTTGTAGGAAATTGAATGAACTAATACAATCTTTATGAATCAAAATGAAATATTAAAATTTATGCAAATGACCTACCCTGATTTGCATAATGTATGCGTGTAACTTTTGGTTAAACCTAGAATAAATATGACTTATTTGTATCAATGGTGTGAATTTTTTTATGGATAAGCCTAAATAAGTCCTAACACTTATATTTTTGGGAAACAAGGTCCATGGGGGCCCTTCAGATACATCTGGCACATAATTCTACTCCTTTTCCATCCCCTCCACCCTATTTTTCAGTTGTTACAGACACGCTGTAACAGGCCCCCATTTATGACCTAGGGACCTTTTCTTAAGCTGGATGTTACTGAGAAAGTTGTCTGCATATCTATTGGTCTCTCTCATAAACATTTGAATGATATTTAGTGTAAAAAATTGCATAGAGTACTCAAATGGTGTGCTTATGCCTTATTTATAGAACCTATGTTGTCTAAAAATTCAGAGGGGTCATCCCTGTCCAGTTGAGGACCCCTAATACTAGTAATACTAAACCAAGAGTTCACAACATTAGCATTACCCTCAATTTGAAAGTCTTCATTAATTTCCTGGTTGTTTTCATCAGTTTCAGTGTCTAATTTACTGCTAGAACATCAAAATTACTAAGCACAGTTTGATCAGAGTCACTGGCAGACATGTTTGAATTTCATGATGTAACTACACACACACACACAAATTCCTGCACACAAATAAATTGAGTTCACCATCAACCAACGCCGCCATTACAATGCCGGGATGTGCAGGAATACGTAAGAATAATTTTGATTCGCTGATACAACGCCAAACCAGCCAACCGTGAGGCTCGATTTATCGGGCCGACGGCTCGGACTTATGTCTTTAGATCGGCCCTTACGTTCCAAGAGGGTTAATAAACAAAGTTGATGTAGTATGTAATTTTCCAAAGATACCGTGTAGCTGTACGCCATATTGTAGATAAAGTTTTTTCAACATTTTCGGACATGCGCAGATTGGTGCGTCGACTAGTTTTAAAGTACCTACCCCCTGAGATGGTGTCGACCGGTGCGCTCCGTACCCCACTAGCTACGCAACTGAATACAAATTTTTGGTCTTCCACACCTCAAGGCTGGGGAGGTACTTTTACCCCTGGTTCAGAACCACTGACCTTGTGAAATGTTTCTGACACTGGTGCAGTAATTTGATATCCATGAACATGCCATATGGGAGGCGAATTTCTTAAGGGTTTGTAAAGGACAGTAGTGGACACAGGGACTTTTTTTATAGGGGGGGGTGCAGAGATTTGTGACGTTATATTTGAGGGGGGTTCTAATAAGTTCTAACTTTTTGTGTCGATTTGTAGGATGGGGGAGGGGGGGGGGGGGGGGGTGGGGGGGGGGGGGGGGGGGGGTCAAGAATCGTCAAAAATTGCATGACGTCATTTATGGATGGTCCCACACTTAACTATTAATTATTGATTATTTATAATCTAATATTAATATAAAAAGCCAAATTGAATTATCAAAATCAGCTCGTCAAGCTTAATAAATTAACAAATGCCAATGCCAATGATTGAATGGGCCAAGGCACTTCGACTTCACTGTCTCACTGTCTGGTGTGACTGAATGAATGATTGAATCATTTATTGAATTTGATTTAAATAATAGTAATCTACTGATGCTCTTTTCTTTCCTTTCAAAAAATGAAAATGTTGCGAATTTTTTTTTTAGCACAATAATCATGAATAGTCTACAATCAAGTTCTGACCTCTGATCATTGGGAATATCCTTATACTTTTGAGGTAACATACATGTTCTCCAGAAAAGAGTCTCTAGAAATGTTAAAGCTAACGGTTAAACAATATTTTATCCTGTACACAAACTTATACGTTGACATTGAGTACTCTGTACTGTAATCATTGGTACAAAAATAAAACTTGAAGTGCAAATTTCAACGAAATAATCTTTTGATTAATGATTAGTTTTGTGTGTTTTTTTGTTTGGTTTTTTTTTGGAAATATTTTTTTTCTAAAACGCAAAACTTAGGGTACATGTTAACTTCTATTTTAAAATTTTAATCCGCTTCTTCGAACCTTTCATCATTTGCTTTGTTTAAATTGATGTTAATAAAAGATATATCGGAAAAATAACTAAGAATTTGCAACCCTGAGTTGATTTATGTAAACAAGAAGAAATCCATCGCGGAAGCCGGGGTGGGGGGAGGGGTGAGCGAGGGTACCCCCTTTCCCCGCATTTGATTTAATTGGACATCATTTTGCCTGTTAGAGTTTTGAAATAAAAAAGAAAAAGGATTTACACAATTCAACCATTCTAGGGTTGCCAGGTCTGCTTCCAAAATATAGTGGGACACTAAAAAAAAAAAAGGGGGGGGGGGGGAAAAAGGGGGATTTAAGTAGGAAAATAAATTTTGAAAAAAATTAAAATTAAATTATAAAAGGACAAAACGCGATTCTCCTATCCTTGCTGTCTTAGACTGTACAGCTTTAGATTACGTACCATTTCATGATAAAGTTATTGAATTAAACAAATGTCCACTATTTTAAAGGGGGAAAAAATGACATGATGTCAGAAAAGCGGACTTTCCGCTTAAATGGTAGACACCTGGCAACCTTACTGTGACAAACTGGAGCTGACCAAGTTCACATCAACCTTCTTAGAACATCCCCCCCCCCCTAAACACCCTTTTTGGAGTTCAGGACGAGTTATTCCCCGTTGATTGCCTTCACCCCACGTGGATCACTCACTCCACTCACGGATCTTTTGACCAGCGGATTGAATTACGTAGGTGGAACGCCCCCCCCCCCCC